GGGCTGCAGTCCCCAGCCGAGGGGGTGATGGCGGCTTGCGATCCAGGACGAGGAAAGAGCTTGGCGAATCCCAGGAAATTGAGCGGGGAGGCCGCGGGGATGGGAGGCCACCAGGTAACTGGAGGGGCAGGCGAGACAAAGCAGACGGGAGCGTCGCTGAAGGCCAGGCTGTTCTCCTATGACCCGAATGTGGGTTTTGTTACCTTTCCTCCCCTTGCTCTCCAAATGCATGGAGCCTCTCCGCATCCGAAAGGCTCATTTCTCGGTTTCGCTGAGAGCCGTTCCCAGCCCTAATCCAGCCTAAGGCGCAGGGGGAAAGCACGCTCGGTGAACCACACGATTAATACGTAAAATACACTTATTAAAATAAAATTATCCTTTCCTTTCTCCCCCTCCTTCCTCGTTCCCTTGTCTCCGTAGCATCCAGAACCAGCCGTAGATGCAAAAATGATGGCATGTGTGTCGTGCAATTATGACATCTGATGCAACTACATAAATTGCATCATTTGCCTGATGTCAGGATGCCTGTGTCATCAGTGCCCACCCCCCGTGAATACCCCCACTATATTTGTTTTAGATATTAAACTCCTGGATCCGTACAGACTGTCACTACGTAGATAGAACTGCATAAATGTCAGATAATTCTGAGGAGCTTCATATTTAAGAAATATTCAAATGGAAGTGCAGAATTTTTAAAACAAAAAAGGGCTTTCTCAGTGGCAATTCTAATGTAGATTCTAAGGCTCACTAAACACAGTTGTTTAGGTTTGGCAATATATAAGCATAGTAAGAAAAATAATAACCAGTGTGTAAAAACGGTTATTTCTGTTCTTTTTCTTACTTGTTTTGGTTTTATATCAAAGCCATGTGTTTTCAGGCTAGTACTTTTCCTGGGAAAGCCAAACATGCTTGGATGTAAAACCAAATCCTAGTTCCTTGCAGAAATTAAATGAATTAAAGTGTTCCCAACAAATATCTATTCAGCCTCTGCTTGAGACATTAGCAAAGAATTGCATTGCATCTCTTTCTGGATATTGATTTTACTGTTCTCCTCCCCATTAAGAAGCTTTCCTAATCCACTGTGACTGATGACATGAAAGCAATACATTTAGATTAAAATTATATTTTAAAGCATGAAGTCCTTCATTTGTGATCAACAATAATAAAAATCCTAAGAATAAGGGTAAGCCTTTTGAATTCTCTTGAATGCAAATGTTATGTTTCTCTCTCTAATCCAGAGCAACTGTTTCAAGATGACTAAGGTTTTTGGAGTGTTTAGGCTTTTCAGGAAGATACTAGATATATGTTAAATTAGCATTTATTAGGCACCACCTATATTAAAATTGGAATGATACAGAGGAGAAATTTCCCTAAAAGAATCTTATGGCAGGAGGGCCAATTTACTTTTCATTTTAACATGGAACCAATCTGCTTAAAATCCATTATTTTGTGGAAAGTTGGGAGCAATTTTCTATTCTAAAATATTGGCAAATTGTTTAATATACCCAGTATTCTTGTTCCACTGAAATGTTCTGTTTATTTCTATTTCCAGTCTTCAACTGCAGCTTTTCTTTTACAGTTGAGATTTTGCTCTTATTTCGTTCTATTTTTAAATAGGAAAGCAGAAGTAGATTTAAGCATTTTGCCAGATGCTTAATGATTAAGATCTAGAATAATGCTCAGCATGCTTGCTGCTAACATTAGATGCTGTGCTAAAAACAGAAATAGATTGAGGGCATCCATTAATGGTCTGTTCTGTTCTTGTTTTTTAATACTCCAGTAACTTTAATACTCCAGTAAGATTCGTGTTTAATTAATTCGTTATTAAATGTATTTCTATCCTGCCACAATGAAAACAATTTTTGGTGGCTTACATAAAATAAATATTACCATTAAAACACCTATGGTACAAAAGTAAAAATCCAACACTCATAATCAGAACAATCAAAAGAACATTCAAACAAAGACAACAATACCATAAAAATAAAGATGGCAACAATAAATCAGGGAAAAGTTCTCCAAAGCAGTTTTCAGAAGTTTTCATAAAGTCAATGAAGAGGAGGCCAGCCTGATCTCCAGAGGGAGGCTATTCTACAACATCAGTATTGCTCAAGAGAAGCAACACTTCTTTGCCTCAATCCCCTGAACCTCCCCAAAGTGTGGGATTCAAAGCAGCTTCTCCGAGGTAGTTCTAACTGATCAACACAAGTGAAATGAGTTTTTTTCTAAAATGCACAAAAAGATTGGTCTTTATCTGTGAGTAGTTAGATCCCTTTGCTTAATGCACTGAAATGATTAATGTGCATGTACTTTAGAAGGTTGGCCATTCCAACACATGGGAATTCTCACTAAACTTTCATGTAATCTGATTATCAATCAAATCTGATAAATTTATATTTTGGAATATGCCTTCATCAGAGCTACAAAAATTGTACCAATTCTGAGCAATACAGATTTTCCTTGGGGGATAAAAACATTGTGACCGTGGCTAGTAGTGTTTAGTACTTGCACTGATTTCTATAAACTTTTTAAGAAAGATGGTTAACAAGAAGTTTGAGTTTTGTTTCAACTTTCTGGATTTGTTATAAAATCTCTTATATACATATCTCAGTAATGGTATCCTTTACTTGACATAGGCATATTAAAAAGTAAGTAAAAGACCTTTTTGGATTTGTGGCAAATTAGAAAACACACACATTCTGATTTATGTTATTGCTAGTACTGACGTTTTTCACTCGAGTTTCACCGGAAACAGCTGTATGTGAAAAGCTTCCTGTTACATACTGTAATCTCTATAGTTAGTCTTGGATAAAGAAGCTAAAAATGACTTCCAGTCAGGAGCTATGTTCAGCTGCTGGATTGCGGCTGATACCCTTTTTCCCCTTACGACCTGCAGGTAACAAGAAAATTAAAAAACCACAAACAAAATCTCAAGTTTTAACAATACTGATTTTTAGATGTTGGCTGAATCAGTTATTTGAGTTGTCCTGTGGAACATCTATGCAATTTGTGTAGATTTCAATGCCCCAGAAAAAAACACATTCCCTTTTGTCCTGCCACTTTTATGCAAGTCTTGATTGGCTTAATAGGAAGTCACTTTTTTTTCTTGTGCAATTTAAAAGGGGGAAAGCATGTTCTTTTTGCTCGTGAATAATTTAGAGGAGATGCACATTTCTGTGTGTGTGTGTGTGTGTGTGTGTATCTTTTTTAAAATAAAGTATACATTTTTCTATTTTCAAAGACAGCAT